TTTAATTGTGATTTCTTTTTTTTTTTTTGGTACCAGGGATCAAACTGGGGACCTTGCGCTTGTGGGGCAGGCAGCGGAACCACTGAGCTAAATCACCAGTGTGATTTCCTTTTCTGGCCAAAATTCTGATTGAATATAGGGGCTTGGCCAGGGATTTAGCTCAGTGGTGCTGCAGCCTGCCTCACAAGCGCAAGGTCCTGAGTTCATCCCTGGTATGTATAAATAAATAAATGATAGAATGAATGAATATAAGGCCTTAAGAATGCTAGGCAAGTACTCCTGTGCTAATGTACATCCCAGCTTCTTTTATTAAGTTGGCCTATCTTTCCTAAAACTTGTGATCCTCCTACCTCAGCCTCCTAAGTAGCTAGGATTCCAGGATTGCACCATTATACCATCTTTTGATGGATGTTACATATGACTTACCAGGACATCATGGCCAGTCCAGACCCCTGGTTCTTGTGGCCATAGCCTGCTATGCTGTCTTGAACTTCTGTTCCTTCTTTCTAAAGTGTCTTAGTTTCAAGTGTAAGTCTTGGCAAAGTTCAGGTAGGAAAAACAATAGTGGTTCACTTTGAATTTTCCAGGAGGAAATTCCAGAAGCAATTTCCCAAAGGAATGTAGAAGAAGCTTCCAGGCCCTGGCATTTAGCAGACAGATACTACTACCTCAGATGTCTGTTTAGTGAGATGGATGATGATGCCCCTTCCCCCAAGTCCACAGAAATATTTTCAGAAGTGGCTGATATGGATACAGTAGTGAGACTTATTTGGAATTCATTGCAATCTCATTAACTGAGTTAATTTTGCTTGCAGAGGAATGTCATCTCTGCAAGAGTAGATTGCCCACTTGTTGAGCCTGGATTCAAATTCTGTCTCTTATATAAAGTCTGGGTAAACTGGTAGAGCTTCCCGGACCTCTGGTCTATGGGTTTGAAATGGAGATGATGATAGTGATCACTTGTGGGACTGTGGTCCATCACCCATTTTTTCTTTTACAAGCATTTTTTCTTTATTTTTTGTACTCATGAAGAAGTAAAGAAGTGCTTTATTGATTCGAGATTAGAGACTTAAACAAGTGTCTCATGGTCACACAGTAAGTAGGTGTTGCTTTCTGGAGTTTATTTTTAACCCAAGGAGGTTGGCTTCTGAACTGTTGTCTTCTAGTCCCTTGGCTATGGTACAGAAAGTCCACAACAGGAGCCAGAAACACAGTAAGACTAAAGCGCTGTTCCTTTCACTGCTGTATTATTTTTGTTGTTTTTATGTCCTATTCTTCTCTATCTCAGAGCATTTGCTCTGTCTTATAGTCCATTTGGAATTGTCCTAAACTTGTCTCAGTCTGCATTGCTTTCCTGCCTATGCAACTTCTCTGAAGCATATTGCTGCAATCTGTCCAATCAGCATCCTCCTTACGCTGGAGCACAGCACAGAGCTGAGCCCTCTGGGGATGTTTAGTGATTTGATCCATGGGTGTCCATGTCTTGCTGTGCTCAGATGACACAGCCTTATCCTATCCAGCAGTCCTAAGGCAAATTCTGCTTCCTGTGTTTGACTTCTTAGGTGGCTGTGACCTTCGAAGATGTGGTTATAAGATTCAATCAGGAGGAATGGGATCAGCTGGACCTTTCCAAGAGGACCTTATACTGGGAGGTGATGCTGGAGACCTGTGGGCTTCTCATAGCTGTGGGTAAGGCTCCCCTCTCAGCCTTGTAGCCACTGGGCACTCTTTCTCTCTGACCTCCAACTCCAGGCCTAACTGGTCATCAAGGCCTCAGGAACTACCCTCCTTAGTCAGCACAGCTTCTGTCATTTCTTTGACTCCACCTGTTTCTTTTTGATTTTTTGTGTCTCAGTAAGAATTGGGAGACAAAACAGTCTGTGTTTGATCACAACCAAAAGAGAGGGCTATATTGGAAGGGCATTAGGGTATTGGGCAGAACCCAAAGGTAACCTTTCTCACTGGATCCTCTGAGGGACTGATAAATTCCCTGGGAGGGAGTATAGTAGTGCTGTGGCTCAGACTATCTTATCCTGACTTTTCTTTGAAGGTCTCTGTCATTGTTTCCATAGTGGCCTTCTGTCTTCTGTGTCATTTTGTGAAAGAAAATGGTCATATAGTCTTTTAGGCCCTAAATTCCCTGTCTTCAATTTTTTTTTTGCATGTACACATTTTTTTATCTATTCACACTGTATTATATTTTTCTGGCATCCTCACCCTTAGCAAATATAGAAAATAAGACCATTATTGTGAGTCCTTCATAAAGCTTAATATATTCATTATCAAGTATGTATCTTCATTATTGGATCCTGTCCTTTGCATTACTCAGTGGTAAAAGTCCTTTGTCTTGTAAAATGTTGATGATATTTGATGTTCATGCGAATGTCTGCATATGCCTGTCTTAGCCACTTTCTCTCATTGCTGGAACAAAGTGCCTGACATCCACAACTTAAAAGAGGCAAGGTACATTTTAGATCACAGTTTTAGAAGTTTCAGTCCATGGTTGGTGTATTAAATATACCTTTCCTGCCCCTCAGTGAACTGCCTCTAACTAGGCCAAGGCTTTGTGGCTCTGGTGCCTCTAGATTCCTGTGTCTTTGACCCTGGCAAATCTGTTGTTGAAGTCTTAGTTGTATGTGACCATCCAGTTCAGTCTTCCCCTTGTAAGGAGGGTCTTACCTTACCTACCTTGTAAGGAGGATCTTATCTACTCGACTTGTGCATGTTTTTGTAGCTTTTTGTGTTTCTGCTTCATGTCCTTCGTCCAGGTCTTTAGCGGGTACCTCGTAGAAGTCCCAGCATGCCAGTACGACAACAAGGGGTAGAAGATATCTCATGCAGCCCTTCCTGGAATTTAGAGTCTTTCTTTTATTTGGGTGTTCAGTGAGGTTACTTGTCTACCTGACTACTGATCATCAGGGATGCGTGCAGGCTACAATATCCTGGGCCCAGTGATTAAAATCCAGTGCCTAGTCATCACCCTCAGGGATTTTGTTTCAGTTGGTTCGAATGGCAAGTAAACATCCGTAGGTCTTGCCAGTTTACAGGGAGGTGGAGGTTCTATGACTTGAATTAATTACAACTACCAGCCAGCTACCATAGCATATGCCTATATTCCTAGCAGTGTGGGATACAGAGGCAGGAGGATCACTTGTTGTAGCCCACCTTGTACAATTCAGCAACTTAGAGAGATCCGGTCTCAAAATAAAAAAGTACAAAAATAGAGCTGAAGATACAGCAATACAGAAAAGTTTTAGATAACTTAATAGATTGAATATTAAGGTAATTGTAGAAGCAAAATAAGTAATGTGTTCTTTTTAAGATTTGTTTTTCCTGTAACTCCTTGTTTAAGGTGAGGATTATCTGACTCTAACCGTAACTTCATTAACCTAACAAAGTTACCATGCCAGGGTGAATTTACAATATAAATGCCCTATCTTGTGTCTGTGACTTGTAAATCGGAACTGGAATTGTATTTACATATCAAAGACCACTAGGGATGACATAATGGTAAAAAGGATATAAAAAGGGAAATGCTGAACAAAGGTGGCGTGGATACGGACCAGACTGGTTTCTGGCATTCCCACCCACTTGCGAGAAGAAATTGTATTATTTTATCTGAATTCTGTGTCTCTGTGTATTTCTTTCCAAGATTTCTGTAGCAACAGCTCAGGCTGAAGGCCTTGGGTTCCATCAAGAATATCACACACACACACACAAAAAAAAGAAAGTAAGAAAAGAAAATATACCAGGGAAATATGTCTAGAAAGTGTTCAGATCCTGTAGGGTGGAAATCAAAGGGAATTAGGTTTGTCTATGCAACCAGTTGTACTTCCTGCAGTACATCGATTCCAAAGATGCCATTTTGTAGTTTGCTTCTAGGTTGTAGTTCTCTGAAGCTCTGCTTCAAGGTCTGTTCCCCATCCTGAAGATCCAGGGTAGATTGCAAAGATTCTTTTATCTCACCAATCCTTGTGTCTCCTTCTCCATGAACAGGCTGTCCTTTGTCCAAGTCAGAGCTGCTTTCCCAGTTGGAGCACAGACAGGCATTAAGGAAAGCCAAAGATGACCTATCCCAGAGCTTCTGTCCAGGTGGGTGCTGGGCCTGGGGAAGGTGACGGTACCAGTAGCTTGGAGGGTGGGGGTGATGGCAGCTTGCAGGTTCACAAGTGATCCTTGCCTCTGCACTCTGGGAACCATCTTTTTTGTGGCCTCTGGGGCAGCGGAATCCATGATGCCCTTAACCTGTAGTCTCTCTGTCATCATGGACCTTGGTGCCATGCAGGGATTCATGGACCCTGTGCCCTCTGCACAACATAGTGGCTGATGCTTCCCTGGCCGTCTCCGGTAGGCATAGGGGAGATGAGGAAGTGAAGATGCCAGTCCTCTTCCCCACCTCACACTCAGTAACAGCACATTCAGACACACTTGTGTCTAGAGGCCGGGGACTGTGCCCAAGCTTGTTCCACTGTACTCCGTTCCTAAAGATTCATCGTGATAATACATTGTCGTTGTGTGATTGAGGATGTAATAGATTACATATGACACCTGACCATAGTGAGTAGCTCAGTAAAAGGAAGCTACTTGTATTATTCCTGTTATCCTAATGAATGGTGTATTTTAGCTTTCCTTCTGAACTGTGAACAGTCCTTAACAGTGTGTTCTGCATTCTGTCATTTCATGCCTCCTCCCACACATCCCCTGAGCATCAGTCAGACTCAGAAGATCCCTTACTTTGTGTCTTCGTGCTTCTGCTGTTTTGTAGAGCCCCAGAGTGACTTTAAGCCTTCCCTGTCTCCATCTTGGCTTCTGAGAGCATTGGGGCCATCATGTACGTTGATTGGCACACTTCAGAGCCAGTGTCTCTTCCCTTTGGTGATCCATTTGGTGATGTTATTACTTGTCTTCTCCTCCCTAGTCTTGACTGTGAGTGGGAGTCTCAATTTCAGACACTGTCATCTGCCCCAGGCACTCCCTCTGAGTTTCCCTTCAAAAAAGTCTCAAGAATCTGGTGCTGAGCTGTACTAGACATTATTTATTTATTTATTTTTTGGTACTGGGAATCGAACTCGGGTCCGTGCTCTTTTGAGGTAGGCGCCAGAACCACTGAGCTAAATCCCCGGCCCTAGACATTATTTCTTTGTAAATGAATTTTGTACTGTAGAAATGAGGAGTTTGATCCAGTAGAGTAATGCCTCAGTTCACAAACTTCTATGCACAAACAATTTGAAGTATTCAGTAGAATTTTGCTTCCATTCTCAAACTCTGCATCAAGTGGCAAACATGATCACAGCCATATTCCTCACATGAACACAAATGCAACCATCCATCTTCCCCACTCTGATACGTGGTCATGGCTTCCTCTAGTCGAGATTACAGTCGCAGATAAACCTGTGCACACTTACTGTGAAGCTTTTTTGCTTTTTAGCACATATAGTACTGTACAGTATCATTCAACCCAGCACAGCTTGAAAGAAAATGCAGAGCAAGCATTATGGTAAAAAGAAAGTGGAGAATGGTAATGAAGGTAACCAGAATGTGCAGAATGGTAATAAAGGTAACCAGAATATGCAGGATGGTAATGAAGGTGACAAGAATGTGCACAGCAATAATGAAGGCAACAAGAAAGTGCAGGGCAAGTATGGTAAGAGGGGTTTGAAGAAAATAGTCATTGAACTGAAGAAGGAAATTATAGAAAAGCGTGAGTGTGGTATTCATGTGACTGATGTGGCCTCAGAGTACAAGATGGTGAAGTTGACAATCTTGACTATTTTGAGGAATAAAGATGCCATTAAAGGAGCAGATATGGCAATAGGAATACCAGTGTTAAGCAAGCAGAGGACACAAGTGCTGGAAGAAGTAGAAAAACTTTTTTTAGTGTATTTGAATGAGAAACAGCTGGCAGGTGATAGCATTGGTGAAGCTACAGTCTGTGAAAAAGCCAAGAAATTGTACAATAATTCAAGAAAACCCCTCTACAAGCGCAACAAGTGATGAATTTAAAGCCAATAGAGGGTGGTTTCATAAATTCCATAAGGGAAGTGGTATCCACAGTGTGATAAAACATGGTAAGGCTTCCAGTTCTGATAAGAATGCTGCAGAAGCCTACAAGAGAAAAATTCTCAGAATTCATGAACACTCAACAAATGTTCAACTATGATGACACAGGGCTCTTATGGAAGAAGATCCTGAACAGAACCTATGTCATACAGGAGGAAAAGGAACTATCAGGGGACAAGCCCATAAAGGACAGATTGATGCTTTTGCTGTGTGCAAATGCAAACACTGATCTGAAGATTAAGCCACTAGTGTTATACCATTCCCAGACTCCTCATACATTCAGGGAACAGAATGTGAACAAGGTCAAATTGCTTGTCATGTGGAGGGCCAATGCAAAAGCTTGGGTCACAAGGGAATTGTTCATTGAGTGGTTATATAAGGTTTGGGGGCCCACCATTAAGAAATACCTTTCTGGAATGAAGGACTTCTGGAAAGATGGCAGAATGGTGGACAGCAGAGAAGCAGCCTCTCTGAGATTTGGTGTCCAGATGCTGGAATATACCTATGCATGGAAGAGAAGAAGGAGGGAAGTGGGTCCTCAGGACCCAGCAAAAATTTCATGAAAATTGAAGCCCATGAAGAGAACAAAGAAACTTCAGTGAAGAAGAAGGAGGTGGCAAGTAGCACTTTGTCCCTGAGCCCTGACTCACTGTGGAAAGGGTGGCCTGAACCTGCAGACACAGTGACTACTGGTGACCCTAGGAGCCTTCACAAAGATGGTTCAGTGCAATGGAGAGGTACATGCAGTGGACTACATTTGCTGGTGAGTTATTCAGGTTCAGATGTCCCTCAGGAGAGAGCAGTTGGCTGGTAGCCATCTTGGAGAGGAGCCAACTGAGCTCAACTCAGAGCAAATGCTGGCTCCATTGAGCAGCTCCCAAGATCAGGGTGAGGCAGAAGTGAGGTCAGGTCAGCAAGAGGTCAAGCAACAGAGTTCAAGCTGGCAGGGGATGCACAGACTGTTGCAGGTCGAACAAATATGATTCCAATCTCAGAGCCAGACACAAACCTGAACTTCAGTGTAACTGAAGGTGCAGGCTTGATGGGATTATCCACTACCCCCTCATAAATCTACAGCTGGCTTGCTGGTATTACTCAACACAGATCTGGGCTCTGTCTGCCCATTCTGTCAACCAGTGACAACAGAGACACCCCTGAAGTGGACTTTTTTTTTTTTCTTATTCATTTTTTTTTGTTTTGTTTTTGTTTTACTTTCTTTTTTTCTTGTCTTTATATGAGTGTGAACACTGCAGTTTTTAATTGTTGTTCTGTTCTGTTCTTGTTTATATTTCTTCCTTCTCTCTTTCCTCTAGTCTTCTTCACCGGTTTCCCAACATTTGCGTAATCTTTTGTACTCCAGCCTTGCTTCTAATCTCTTCCTGTTCTATTTTTCTATTTTTCCCACCAACCTCTTAAATTTTCTCCCTTGAGGGTAAAATCACCATATTGAAGGCATATTTATTGCATACAATTTTTCAGTTTGTTTTAGATTTTTGTTATATATCGCCAAATATAGTTCAGATGGTTAAAGATAGCAAATCAATAGTTACCGCAGTTTGTTATTTTCTAGGCTATGTTTGACTCTATTGTTATTACTGATTGTACTACTTTAACCCATGTGACAGTTGTTCTGATTAGTTGTGCTTCCCTATGTCAGGACTGAGATTGCCTAAGGGTCATAAACAACACTATGAGCCAGTGCCAAAGAATCAGGGGGCAGGGCAAATAGGCAGAAACTTCTCATTCACAATCAATTGAAGAGGTAGGATCTTGCAAGACACAATCCAAAAGCCACTACACCTAGAAGACATCTCTGAGAAATAGTCATTGTCTAAGGTTTCTAAATACTATCAATAAAGCTAATTGCCGTAATTGCCATAAGGAATGTATAAGCATCAACCCAGGAATTAACAACAGCAACAAAAAAAGAAAATGAAGACACTTAAGCAAGATGCAGCCTCAGACTTCCAGCTCACCAAAGGTAAACCTAGAGGGCAGTGAGGTGAAACAGTTCAAAAGTCACTCACCTGGACTCTCTGAAGTGGTAACAGTGAAAGTAACAAAGCAGATGAATGAGGCTCTACAAAACAAATCAGAAATGATTTCTGAGATAACTACAGAGATGGTAACCATAATGAAAGACATGCTTAGTGATTAGAGCACGTACAGATTAAAAAAAAATAGAGGAGCTTGGGAACGTGATAGAAACCATGAATGCCCAGCATAGGAAAGAAATGGAATCCATAAAACAGATTCAAACAGATATCCAGAAGATTAAAAATTCCACCGAAGGGGCCCAAGATGTAGCTCAGTGGCACCACACCTGCCTTGCTAGCATAAGGTCCTGAATTTGATCCCCAGTACTGAAAAAAAACAAAAAAGTTCCATTGAAGTATATGTAGTAGAATGATCCAATGTGAGGACAGAATATCAGAGAAGACAGGATTACAGATAGTGATCATGAAAAAGGAAGATTTCTTTAAAATAGCAATGGACTGTGAGAAATCAATCCAACAACTGCTAGATGAAGCGAGGAAGAGTAACATAAGATTGATCAGACTCAATGAAAAAGCAGGAGATAGCACAAATGACATTAAAAAAACCTATTCACAGAAGTAAAAACAAAACTTCCCAAACAAGGAAAAAGAATTTGATATACAGTTAAGTGAGGCATATACAGCTCCAGTTAACCATAATAAAAAAAAATCTTACCCAAGGCATATAATAGTTAAGATTCCAGAAATCCAACATGAGAACAGAGTATTAAAAGCTGTTAGAGAAAAGAAATAAATCACCTATAAAAGAAAGCCCATCAGAATCACAGCAGACTTAGCAATACAAACTCTCAAGGAAAGCTGGGAGTGAAGTATTTCAAGCCCTAAAGGAAAACAACCTCCATCCCAGATTGATGTACTCTGCAAAACTGTATTTCAAAATTGGTAGAGTAATAAGATACTTCTGTGACAGAGAACACCTGAAGAAAATCATGACCACCAAATCAGCACTCCAAAATGTAACAAAGAACATTTTAGAAAAAGATAAGAAGGACTCCAACTCCATGAACTCCAACAGAACGAAAGATAAGTCTACACACATCAGTTATAACCATCAATGTAAATGGTTGCAATTTACCAATCAAAAGAAACAGACTGGCAGAATGGATCAAGAAGCAAGTTCCGACAATATACTACATACAAGACACACATTTAATTTTAAAAGAAATTTATAGATTTAATGTCAAAGGATGGAAAACAATACTCTATGTGACAGGAACTCAGGAAAAAAGTAGGGTTAGGTATTCTATTTGCAGACAAAGTGGATTCCAAGCCAAGACTGACTAAGAAAGACAAAGAAGGTCACTACGTCCTTGTAAAGAGAACAATCTAACAGGAAGCGATAACAGTCACAAATATATATGCACCAAGTACTAGTGCACACAACTATATAAAACAAATATTAACAGACATGAAAAATCAAGAGAGCACGAATAAAATTGTACTAGGGGAACTCAATACCCAACTGTCACAAATAACTAGAAAAACCCCTCAAATGTCAGAACTGAACCAGGTATTTCAACAAATGGACTTAGTTGATGTTTGCAGAGTGTTCTATGCCACAACATTAGAATGCACATTCTACTCAGCTGCACACAGGAAGTTTTCCAAAATAGACCATATACTAGCTGATAGAACATACTTAAGTAATTATAAAGGAATAGAAATTATCTCATGCATATTATCAGATCATAGTGCAATGAAATTGGAAATCAGTGGTAAAAGAAACCACAAGAACTTTGTAAAGACATGAGAATTGAATAAGAGTCTCCTGAGCAACCAATGGGTCACAGATGAAATTAAAGAAGAAATTAGACTGTTTCTACAATTAAACAATAATGCCATTGCAACTTACCAGAACTTATGGGATGCCATGAAAGTAGTTCTGTGAGGGTAATTTATAGTGGTGAACTTCCACATCAGAAAAACAGAGTGGGCTCAAATAAACAACCTAATGTTGAACCTCAAGCTTCTAGAAAAAGAAGAGCTAGAGATTATAAAGATCAAAGCAAGGCTGGGCTGGGGATTAAGCTCTGGTTCCACCACCTGTCTTGCAAGCACAAGGTCCCAAGTTCGATCCCCAGTTCCAAAAAAAAAAAGATAAAGCAGAAATTAATGCAATGAAAACTAAGAAAACAATAGAAAGACTCAATGAATCAGAGTTGGGTCTTTGAGAGATTAAAATTGACAAACCCTTAGCCAATTTTATCCAAAACAGGAAGGATAAGACTCAAATCTATGCAATTAGGACTGAAAAGGGCGAAATCACAACAGATCCTGCAGAAATCCAGAAGATCATCAATACATTCTTTGAGAACATTTGTTCTAATAAGATGGAAACCACAAAAAATGGAAAGATTCCTAGATATATATGAATTATCAAAGCTTTGTTAAGATATAAAAATTTTACTCAATTTTTTTTTTTTTTGTACCAGGGATTGAACTCGGGTCCTTGTGCTTGCGAGGCAGGTGGTGGAATCACTGAGTTAAATCCCTGGCTCTAAAAATTTTAAATGAACTTATACCAGTCATTGAATTGAAGATGTAACTAAAAACCTACCAACAAAGAAAAGCCCAGGCCGTGAAGGATTCACTGCTGAATTCTACAAAAAATTTAGAGAAGACCTATTGCCACTGTTTCTCAAACTCTTTAATGAAATTGAAAGTGAAGGAATACTCCCAAAGTCATTTCTGGAAGCAAGCATTACCTTGATTCCAAAACCTGAAAAGGATCCAATCAAAAAGAATTACAGGCCAGTCTTCCTAATGAATATAGGTGCAAAAATCCTCAGTAAGATACTGGCAAGTAGAATGCAGCAAATCATCAAGATTATATATCATGACCAAGTTGGATTCATCCAAGGGATGCATGGATGGTTCAACATATGCAAATCAGTAAATGTAATACACTATATTAACAGCGCCAAGGACAAAAACTATATGATCTTCTCAGTAGATGCAGAAAAAGCATTTGACAAGGTCCAGCACCCATTCATGATAAAAACCCTACAGAAAATTTGTTTAGATGGTCTTTATCTCACTCTCATAAAATCCATGTAAGACAAACCAACAACCAAGATCATATTAAAGACAAAAACTGAGTGCTTTCACTCTAAAATCAGGAACAAGACAAAGATGTCCACTGTTAACACTCTTTGTTCAATATAGTTCTGGAAACACTAGCCAGAGCAATTAGACAAGAGAAGGAAGTAAAAGAAATAAGGATAGGAATGTAACAAGTTAAATTATCATTATTTGTGGATGACATGATACTCTATATAGAAAACCTCCAAAACTCCACCAAAAGACTTTTAGATTTAATAACCAAATTCAGTGCCACAGCTGGATACAAAGTCACTCAAAAATCAATAGCCTTTCCATACACAAATAATTAATTCACAGAGAGGAATTAGAGAAACAATCCCTTTCACAATAGCATCTAAAAAAATGAAATACCTAGGAATCAGTTTAATGAAGGAAGTAAAAACCTCTACATGGAAAACTATGGTATTCTGAAAAATGAGATTGAAGAGAATATCAGAAAATGGAAAGATATCCCTTATTCCTGGAAAGGAAGAACCAATATAGTTAAAATGGCCTTACTAACAAACTTGTTATACACTTTTAATGTAATCCTGACCAAAATACCAATACTCTGTCTCACAGAATTAGAGAAAATAATCCTAAAATTCATTTGTAATCAGAAGAGACCTAAAATAGCAAAAACAATTGTTGGCAACAAAGGCAAGGCAGGGAGCATCACAATCCCTGACTTGAAATTATACTACAGAGCTACTGTGATAAAAACACCATTGTACTTGCAAAAACAAAAAACAAACAAACAAAAAACACTCAAGAATCAGTGGAACAGATTAGAAGAAGCAGAAGCAACTCCAAACACCCTCAGGCACCTTTGACAAAAGAGCCTAACACCTTCAATGGAAGAAAGATGCCATCTATTTTTTGGTACCGGGGATCAAGCTCAGGACCTTGCGCTTTCGAGCCAGGTGGTGGAACCACTGAGCTAAATCCCTGGCCCCAAGATACCGTCTTTAATAAATGATGCTGGAAAAACCTGGCTTTTCACATGCCACAGATTAAAACTAGACTCATACCTTTCACTGTGCACTAAACTGAAATAAAAATGGATCAAAGATCAAAATATTAAAACAAACACTAAATCTGCTGCAAAATAGAATAGGTAGAACTCTGGAAAACAATGGCGTAGGCAAATACTTTTTGTTTTGTTTTTGGTATTGGGGATCAAACTCAGGTCCTTGTGCTTTCAGGGCAGGCAGTGGAACCACTGAGCTAAATCCCTGTCCCGGCAAATACTTTATAAACAAAACTGCAGTTGCAGAGGAAATATCACAAAGAATCAGCAGCTGGGATCTCATCTTAATTCAAAACCTTTTGTACAGCAAAGGAAACTACCAACAGAGTGAAGAGACAACCCACAGGTAGGAAAACTCTTTTTGCCAACAGTCCTTCAGACAAAAGACTAATATCTAGAATATATAAAGAACTCAAAAAACTCAGACCCCTCCAAATTTTGGACTCAGTCCAAAAATGGGCATCTGAAATGTATAGACACTTCTCAGATGAAAAAGTAGAAATGGTAAATAAATATATGAAAAAATGTTTAACATCGCTGTTCATTGAAGAGATGTAAATTGAAACAGCACTGAGATTCAATCTTCACAAACAATGGTTGCTATCACAAAATTAACCAATAACAAATGCTAGAGGGGATGTGGGGAAAAAGGAACCCTTCTCCACCGTTGGTGGGAGTGTAGACTGGTGCATCCACTGTGGAAATCAGTGTGGAGATTCCTCAAAAAACCAAAACTAGAGGTTCCATTCAACTGAGCTATTTCTCTTCTTGGTATCTTCCCGAAATAATTAAAAACATTATATCACAGTGATATATGCACACATATGTTTATAGTGGCACAGTTTATAATAGCTAAATCTTGGAAACAGCCCAAATGCCCGTCAATCAACCAAGGGATAAAGAAGATGTGGGTTTTTTATACAATGGAGTACTACTCTCCCATAAAGAATAACCAGCTTGAGACATTTCTAGCTAAATGGAAGTACATTGAGACCATACTCTGAAGTGAAACTTGTTTAAATATTGCATTGTTTTTCTGGTATGAGAAACTGAAAGGGTAAATATGGACCAAAATATATAATAGATATTGGGAAATGGGAAGAAAATGTTCAAATGAGAATGGGGACGTGAGAGGAGGGAAAAGTGAAATAAGGGACAAGGGAAAAAATGGAAACAAAGCCTTTTGTAAACCAGGAGAGGAAGAGAGGTTGAAGGGAGGGGAGAGAAATGGGAAAAAAAGAAGCAAAATATATCATGTATAGAAATAAATTCCCCTTGATGGATGTTGTCATCATGTGTATCTAAAATGTACCAATTAAAAAAAAAAAAAAAATATATATATATATATATATATATATATATATATTTCTGACAATCAGTTGCCTCAAAGGTGCTTTCTTATGATAGACAGTGCCCTGGCCCACCCTCCAGCTTGATGAATGATATAGATGCTGAGTATGACTTCATAAAGGTCAAGTTCCTCCCCTCGAACATGACACCTCTTCTGCAGCCTATGGACTAGCAAGTGATCTGTAACTTCAAGAAGTTGTACACAAAGGCACTCTTCACTGCATATTTTAATGTAACTAAAGAGACATCCTTGACTTTGAAAGAGTTCTGGAAGAAGCATTTCAAAGTTCTGGAAGAAGCATGTCTTCCATTGCATCATCCTCATTTTCAAAGCCTGGAAAGATGTCATATACCAAACCTTAAACTCAACCTAGAGGAAACTGGCTATACTATGTCACTGAATGTTAATTTGAAGGGTCTGATGCACAGGTAGTGGAGGGGATTGTATCCATGGGCAAGAGTATGGGTCTGGACATCGGTTGTGCAGACATAGAGGAGCTTGTTGAGGACCACAAGGAGGAGTGGATGACAGAAGAACTTGTTGAACTCCAGAGTGAGCAGCCAAAGGCGTTTGAGGAGCACTCCACTGAGGAAGAGGAAGACATGCAGGAGTTTAGCAGTGATTTGATAAAATCCATTATGGAAAAATGGAATTAGTGCCAGGATTTCTTTGAGAAGCATGACTCCAAGATAACTGTAATGAACAGTGTTGAATATGATGTACAATAACATGATCTCTCATTTCCAGAGGGTTGTGCAGCACAGAAAAAAAAAAACAAGTGAAATTAGATTTTTCATCAAAATTGACCTTGCAGCTAAGAGATAAAGAAGAGAGGAAGCCCCTGAAAGAGATCTCCTCATTATCTATATGGAGGGATACTCTCCCTCCAAACAATAACCTCTTCCCCACCCACCTTTCTGTCCACACCAGAAGTTGCCCCACGCAAGGTTAGTGTTCTCTCTCTTCATACTGTACTATGTTGTACTTGGTTTCTATTTTTGTGGTTAGAAAACTACAATTTAGCTCAGTGGTTCTGCTGCCTGCCTCTCAAGCGCAAGGTCCCAAGTTCAATCCTCAGTACCAAAAAAAAAAAAAAAAGAAAACTATATATGGTTCAGAATGGATTAACTTTATTTACATTAACCTTATTTACATTATAACCTTGTGAGAAAATTTGATTCTGTTTGCTACCAAGTTCGTAGGGGTCAGAATGCATTATTATTATTATTTTTTTTTGGGCACCAGGGATCGAACTTGGGACCTTGTGCTTGCAAGGCAGGCATTGGAACCACTGAGCTAAATCCCTGGCCCTAAATTTTTACTTTTTTTGGTACCAGGGATCAAACTCAGGACCTTGTGCTTGCGAGGCAGGTGGCAGCACCACTGAGCTAGATCCGTGGCCCAGAATACATTAAATTATATACATTGAACTTCATCAGGAAATTTGATTCAGTTTATGATAAGAATTGTAGAGCAAATTAAGCTCGTGAACTGAGCTTCCTCTGTATTGCTTCATCACTGAAGCATTTCTGACTCAATGTGATAAAGTATCACGTGAGAGGTCCGGCGATTTAGCTCAGCAGCACTGTGCCTGCCTTGCAAGTACAAGGTCCTGAGTTTGATCTCCGGTATCCCTCACACACACACACAAAAAAGTATCACAAGTAGGGCCAAGGATTTAGCTCAGTTGTAGGGGACAGGGGAAGGGGACGTTACCAGAACCTCTGCAGTTAGTCCTGGTCTCCTGCGAGCCACGGCAGCACACGGCGAATTACAGGAAAGGTAGAAAAATGAGACCGAGAAGAAGCTGAGCTTTGGGTCTGATCAGTGCTGCTCTGGGCAGCAAAGACAAAAGCCCCCAGCTTACCACACCTTTTATTCAGTACATTGGGAGAAACAAATGTAACAGATGACTTGCAGAGAGTTCAATAGTTCACATTGGGATAAACAAGGTGTAACGGAAGGCTTGCAGAGAGTTCAGTACATCTCCGGCAAACAAGATGTTAATCAGTCCAAGAACAATGAGGAACTGAGCAGGTGTTTGTTCTCCCAGGATGTTTCTTGTCCTGGAGAATCACAGCATCACTGGATCACTGAAGTCTCAGTTCACCGCAGGCCAAACTGGAGTTATTCTGTAGCTGGGCTGTAGGCAAGAGAACTAGGCTAACCAAATGATTTATCCCTAGAATTATGTAGCATTGCTCCCAACACTCAGTGGTTTCACCACCTGATGCACAAGCGCAAGGACCCGAGTTCAATCACCAGTACCAAAAAAAAAAAAGAAGCATCACAAGTATCACATGAGTATTACCTAAGTATCACATTTGCAGTTCATAATGAAAAATGGTGATATTGTGTGAAAACAAGAAAGTTTTAAGAGTCCTAGGACAAAAAGAAAGACATTACAAAACTGGGTTTCCTGGATTTCAGATCATTCCGGGAGTAGAGTCTTGTTTTTCATCTTATTCTTACTGAAATGCTGATTTCCTTTCTCTAGTGTTGCTGTCACTCACAATCCCTTTTGTTTATTGTGTTTCCTTCAGGTAACAGCACAAAACTTAACAGCATGAAACCCACTCTTGCTTACCAGTCCTGGCCTGAGGGAGCCTTGGTTCATGATCATCAGACAGAAGGAGCCTCTGGGGACTTCCTGTTGGGTCCGCACCAGGGTCAGGATGAGCCCTGTGAAGTGCAGAAAAGACTTAGACCAGGGATGGAGGCCCCAAGGGAGAAGCTTCCTGGGAATAGAAGCCCTGGACATGATGGCATGGGATCAGCTGATAGTGTGTGTTCAAGGTCTGTGCAGGAGCACATCTCTCCAGACCCAGCTACCTGTATCTGTGATTCTAATATGCCAGCTGCAGATCCCTCGATCCGTGAAGGAGAAAATTCCTACAAATGCAAGGAATGTGGGAAAGTGTTTAAGAATGAACGCTTACTTATTCAACATAAGTGGATTCACACAGGAGTGAAGCGCTACGAATGTACAGAGTGTGGAAAGACCTTCCGCAAGAGCACTCACCTCCTCCAGCACCATATTGTCCATACCAGGGAGAGGCCGTATATGTGCTTGGAGTGTGACAAAGCCTTTAGCCGGAAATCATATCTTACTCAGCACCAACGTACGCACAGTGGAGAGAAGCCTTATAAGTGCAGTGAATGTGGACAGGCCTTTGCCCATCGCTCTACATTTGTTTTGCATAACAGAATGCACACTGGAGAAAAACCTTTTGTGTGCAAAGAGTGTGGCAAAGCCTTTCGAGATAGACGAGCTTTCAATCGTCACAACATCTTCCACACGGGAGAGAAGCCCTATCAGTGCTCAGAGTGTGGCAAGGCCTTCAACCAACGGTCTTACCTCACGTGGCACCAACAGACTCACAAGGGAGTGAAACCTTTCCAATGCAATGAGTGTGGGAGAGGATTCTGTGAGATTGCAGGCCTCATTCACCATTATGTCATCCACACTGGGGAGAAGCCCTATAAGTGTGTGGAGTGCGGGAAGGCCTTCCTCCGTGAGCCACACCTCAAGCAGCACCAGCGCATCCACACTGGGGAGAAGCCGTATGTGTGCAGTGAGTGTGGAAAGGCATTCGCCCACTATTCTACTTTGACCTTGCACAGAAGGGCTCACACTGGAGAAAAACCCTTCGAGTGCAAAGAGTGTGGGAAAGCCTTTACCAATCGGAAAGACCTCATCCGCCATGTCAGCATCCACACGGGAGAGAAGCCTTATGAGTGCATGGAATGTGGGAAGGCCTTCAACCGCAGGTCACACCTGATAAGGCACCATCGGATTCACAATGAGGAGAAGCCCTACAAATGCATGGAGTGTGGGAAAACCTTTTCACGGAGTACAAACCTCATTCAGCACTCCAACATTCACACTGGAGATAAGCCCTATAAATGCAATGAATGTGGAAAGGCCTTCAGCCTCAGCTCCTCCCTCCGGTACCATCAAAGGATGCACACAGGGAAAATCGCAGCTAGCGTCAGAGATGAGGGAAAGCCTTTCACAAGTGTGCAAGCCTCTGTCAACATTGAAGGACTCATATTGGGGAAAAATTTTCTTCACATAACCACTGACGAACATCAGTGTTCAAGGGAATCATCTAACACAGACTCTGGTCATTCATACCACAGAGAAACTGGGTTAGTGGCATCTCTATTAAAAAAATGTAAATAATCATTTATTGTCTAGAGTCATGTTTGAAAATGACCCAGTCCACAGTCTTCTACATCTGAGTATTTACCCGTGAGAATTCAATGGCCATTGTGCTCTTAGGAAAGGCCTCAGCCACATATTTCTAGTATATGCTGAAATGTTATATGAAGGATAGTTTTGTTTGTTTGCCTGTTTTGTGTTACTAGGGGATGGAACCCAGAGGCTGTGCACAACTACATTCCACCCCACCTTGGCCCCCTTTTTTTGAGACAGGATCATGCTAAGTCAATAAGTTGCCCAGGGTAGACTCGAAATTTGATTCTCCTGCCTCAGCCTCTCAGGGTGCTGGGATTATAGGTGTATGCCACCTTGCCCGCTCCTTCTCAAAGTTTTATACTTTACCTTTTCCACTTAAAACTCTGATCCATGTTAAGGTAATTTTTGTATTATCCAAGGATTAGATTCAATTAATTTCTTTTGTTGAGGAATACAGACATTCTTCATTTAATGACAATTCCGTTCCTCCATCTAGGTTGTTAAATTAACTGGTTGCTAAATGAAGAATTGTATATAGTATGTACAATGCTCAGAACAAAGAAGTGGTCAAAGGAAACTCCAACTTGATGACTGCTTTTATTTGCATAACTCTTACATGTAATGTGTAACAACATAAAATACAGTACCATATAATACAATCAGCAAAAGTTAGAATACTGTATAAACAAAGTATACTGTACAAAAAAAGACATTGAGGCTCTATCAACAAAATTACAGAGCTGTACCCCCCCAAATGGATGAGTTGTAAGTCCAGATAACACCTCCATCATAAGTCTGGACATTCATTAAACAATATTTATATTCATTTGTTCTAGCACCATTCTAAAGACTCCTAACTATGAACTTGCTTTTATGACTTAGTCATAAATCAACTGGGCATATTCACATTGGTCTGTTTCTGTGCTCTCTGTTAATTATCTGGTTTTGTAATTGTTTTATTGGCAGAGATCCAAAACCTCTGTCAGTACCATACTATCCTTTTTGTCTTTTTCTTTCAGGTTTTTGAGACAGGATCTCACTATATACTTCAGGCTGGACTTGAACTCACTTTGTAGCCCAGGCTGGCCTCAAACTCAGGGCAATCCTCCTGCCTCACCCTCCTGAGTGCTAAAATTACAGATACCTTGTTTTGTTATAGCTATCTACTTAATTTTCAAATATGTAAAGTGATTCTACCCTCTTCTGGTAAAAATTGTTTTAGATATCAATTTTATTGATCTGACTTTAAATTTATGTATTTAGAAAGCATCTTTCAGTTATTTTTGTAGAAATTGCCTTAAAATTATATAGATTATTTTGGTGATGTTTTGTATGTTGAGCCTTCCAGTCCATGAATTTGTTTTTTTCTCTAAATCCCCTTTTTTTTCATAAATGTTTGGTAATTTTCAGGTAATAAATCCTGGGTATTTTATTTTATTGGGGGGGGTGCAGTATTGGGATTGAATCCTGGGTTTAGTTGTGCTAGGTAGATGCTCCATCACTGAGATTCACCCACGCCATTTCTTAATTTATTTTGAGACAGGATCTCACTAAATTGCCCCGATTGGCCTAGAACTTGTGATCTTTCTGCTTTCACAGCATTCACAGTAGCTGGAATTACAGGTGTGTCCCATCAATTTTGTTGTTGTTGACACCTTTGTGGGACCATTTTATGTGACACTGAGGGGTTCTTTTGGGGGGGTGGTTTTAAAAGTTTTTCTGATTTAAGACATGGGGCCTCTGTGTTTCCCCTTTAACTCCTGGTCTCAAGGGATCCTCCTGCCTTAGTCTCCTGAATAGCTTGGATGATAAATACTATCTTAGCTAGGTTCATACTAAATTTTTAATTTCTTTCATATGATCATTGGTGTTAGAGTGAAGTACAATTATTTTTTAAATGCTGATCTTGAATATGACTTTCCAGAGTTTTTTTGTTTGTTTTTTGGGTTACTGGGGATGAACTCAGGACCTTGTGCTTGCAAGGCAGGCGCAGCACCACTGAGCTAAATCCCCAGCCTTGTCAGTAATTTTTATACATTCCTGAGGATTCTCTTCATAAAATTAACGAACAATGAACCAGTTTCTCATATGTATTCCTTTTATTTACTTTTCTTCTGTTATAGTATAGGATCTTCCATGATGTTGAATAAAATGATAAAAGTAGATATACTTACCATGTAATTAGTGTTTGTAGAAAACATTCAATGTTGAGCACTACATGTCATAGCTATATGGTTTCACATAGATGCTCTTTATCTAGTTTAGAAATTTTCCCCAGGTGTTGAGGCTTTTGTTAAGAATGAGTGTTTCAATTATTTAGCCTGTCTCCCTGTAACCTGCTGTAATATGCTTTGCTTTGACTGAACTATTAATGTTAATACAGCCTTGTATCCCTCCAATAAATTTCCCCCAATTTGGTTGAGAAGATTTGTATCTAAAATCATGAGTGTTGTTTAAGCAAACCTATAGCTGGAGTTGCTTCAGTGTGGTTGTAGGGGAGTTCCCACAAGAGAAAGTCCTACACTGAAACAGACATGTGAATTAATGGAATGGAATACAGTATGGAAAAACATTCCTGATCTGTGACAAAGGGGCCAAAAGCATGCTGGAGAAAACACCCTCTTTAGCAAAAGGTGCTGGGAAAACTGCCTGTACACATGCAGAAGATGGAATCTAGACCCATGTCTCTCACCAAGTACTAAACTAAAATCAAAATAGATCAAAGATCTAAATGTCAAAACAATCTGGTGGAAGATAAAATAGGTAAAACTCTTGAAGTGGGCTTGGAATTTCTGAAGAGAACCTTAGTTACACAAGAAACATCAAGAATCAGTGGGATGCTGGGGATTTAGCTCAGTGGTGCTGTGCCTGCCTGCCTTGCAAGCGGAGGGTCCTGAGTTCAATCCCCAGTACCAAAAAAAAAATGTGATCATATCACATTGTACAATAAAGGAAATAATAACGGGGAAAGAATTTACAGAGGACTAATATCTACAATATATGAATAACAGACAAAAAAGGAGGCCCCTCAAAATAAGACTCAATTGGGCCGGGAATTTAGTTCAGTGGTTCCACCACCTGCCTCAAAAGCACAAGGACCCAAGTTTGATCCCCGGTACCAAAAAAAAGAAAAAAAGACTCAGTCAAAAATGGGCAACTGAAATGAATAGATACTTTTCAGAAGAAGTACAAAAGGCTAGTGAAAACATGAAAACATATCCACCATGTCTGGCCATTAGGAAAATGCAAATTAAAGCAACAGATTCCATCTTACTCTAGAAAAAAATGGCTATCAGGAAGAAATCAAATAACAAATGCGGGCCAGGCAGGGGGAAAAAGAACCTTTCTATCCTATTGGTGGGAATGTAAACTAGAAAATCCACTATGGAAATCAGTTTTTCTAGTTTCCAAAACAAGAAAGTTTATTGAACTCAGCTATTCCCCGTCTAGTTATCTTGAAAAAATTAAAGGCATCATATAGTGTTAACATTCATACCCATTGTATAGCAGTACAACTCATAATAAATAGCTAAATCTTGGAAGCAGCCTATATGTCCATCAACAAACAGATGGTTAAAGAAAATGTGACATTTATACGCAATGTAGTACAATGTTACAAGGCTAAATCTGAGTCTTTTTAAACAAAAAATGGATGCATCTTAAGACCATAATTGTAAAGGCCAGGGATTTAGCTCAGTGGTTCCGCTGCCTGCTTTGCAAGCACAAGGACCTGCGTTTGATCCCTGGTACAAAAAAAAAAAAAAGATCATAATTGTAAGTGAAATAAATCAGTCACATGAGCTAAATTATTGCATGCTTTCTCTTATACAAGAAACCTAAAGTATAAATTAAAGAGCTAGCCTAGTGAGGTGGTGCATGCCTATAGTCCCAGCACCTGGGAGGCTGAGGCAGGAGAATGGCCATGACTTTGAGGCCAGCCTGAACTATGTAACGAGACCCTGTCTCAACAAACAAAAAAAACCTCAGCAAAATAAAAGATAATAGGAAATGGAGATAGATTTTTTTTTTGCAGCAACAAGAAATGGAACCAAGGAACCCTTCTCCATTGTTGGTGGGAGTGCAGACTGGTGCAACCACTGTGGAAATTCGTATGGAGATACCTCAAAGAACTAGGACTAGAGGTCCCATTTGACCCAGCTATTCCCCTACTGGGTATCTTCCCCAAAGAATTAAAAGAATCATACCACAGTGATATATGTGCACCTGTGTTTATAGCGGCACAATTTGTAATAGCTAAGGATTGGAAACAGCCCAAGTGCCCATCAGCTGGAAACTGGATAAAGAAGATGTGGTTTTTTTTAATAAAATGGAGTACTACTCAGCCATAAAGAATGAGAAACTAGTCATCTATAGCTAAATGGATGCATACTGAGGCCATACACTTAAGTGAAATAAATAGGACACACATGTAAATACTGAATAGTATCTCTAGTATGAGAAACTGAAAGTGTAAATAAGGATGAAAATGATTAAAATGAATAATTGATAATTTGAAATAGGAAAAGGTCCAAAGGTGGAGGGGTGGTGGGAGGGGAAGGGGAAAGGGAAGAAGGGGAAGGAAAAATTATGAGAAAGAAAAAAAAGGAAATGAAATCTATGTAAATAGGGAAGGGTGGAGGAGGTGAAGGGTCCATAGGTAATGAGGAAAAAAATAAGAACCAAGATACATCATGTACAGTTACAAACACCCAATGATAAATGTAAATGTATACCTAAAATGTAGCAATTAATATATAAATGTTTTAAAAAAGAAATTGAACCAAGAGATGGAGGAGAGACGGTGTGGAAGGGGAGGGTACAGACACAACAAAGTTAAGATGTGTATATACGTGCACCAACTCCCAATAAAGAACTGCTAACACGTGCTAAAAAAAAAATCATAAAGCAAAAACCTTAAGTGTCAGGCCGGGCGTGCTGGCACATCCCTATAATCTCAGCACTTGAGAGGCTAAGGCAGGAGAATAGCCGTGAGTTAAGGGCAGTCGGGGTTACATAGTGAGTTTGAGGCCAGTCTGAACTACATAGTGAGACAGAAAGAAGAAGAAAGAAAAAAGAGAGATTTGGGTGGTTGGGATTTCCTTGAATGGAGTGCTAAATCCAGTGTGATCAGTCTAAACTAAAGGTGAAAGGGTCGACGAAGAAGGGGACCCACAGAGGCGTTCAAGCAGCAAGCCTGTATTGGGGGTGACAGTCTGCAGCCTGCCGGGCTGACTCAGAATGGAGACCAGCAACTGCATGAGCTGAGCTGGAAGCTTATATAGGGTTTTGCAGGTGGGAGAGCACTAGGCCATTGGTGGGGGTGGGTGATTGGGGCTAGGGTATGTGGCAACAAGTTTCGGTTGGGGGGATGGAGTAACAGTTTCCAGGAAGCCCCTATCTTACACGGGAACATCTGGCCACGAAACCGGTGGGGCAGAAAGTCCTTAACTAGGCAGAGAGTCACTGACAAAGAGAGGTCATGCCTTAGTTATGCAGAAGTTCCCTGTTCCCTGTGGCCGGAGTGGGGCAGGGGGAAAGGAAAGGAGGGGTCTTGCTCTGTGGGGGCTCTGAAATACCTAACACAAGGGATGATTATATATAGAGGGCTATGATAGGTCTCCCACCACCTGAGCAGCTATTAAGTATAGTAGCTGCCCTCTTCCTATGGTGACTTGCCCCCTCCCCTGTGTGACATCATGCCAAGATGGTTGCTCCCACCAAAGAACAAACCCTTCTTCCCAG